TTGGATATTTGGTCTTTGTCCATTTCTCACGAGCCACACCTTAAAGACATTCAAAGATTGTAACCTGGCTTCCACCTGTCCCAGCCTCCCTTTTGATCATGGTCTCCATGGGTGACTTAATAACTTTCCATACAGGAAACATGCCAGGCACTTCCAAACATCTCTGCCTCAGCCTTTGCTGTTCTCACTACCTGGAATATCCTTCTATCCTCACCTCTTACCACTTACCCCATCTTACTATCCTTTAAGGCTTATAGTACAAACACCACCTACTTTATGAAACATTCTGATTTCCCTCCTGCTGGTAGAATTAAATGTCATGTTCTGTGAGTATCCCAAGCCCTTTCCTTGTGTTTCTGTTGTTGTAACGACCATGTATCAAACAAAGATGTGTCATAAGCATCATTCTAAGTGCTTTTTGTATGCTGTCATATAATTTTCACAACAAACTTGTAAGAAATTATCACAAACCCCATTTTACAACGGGGATCCCTATTCCCTATCCCCAAGTCCACTGGTAACAATGATATGCCATCTTTGCTGAAAGCTGACACACAACCAGCACCCTTGGATATTTGGTCTTTGTCCATTTCTCACGAGCCACACCTTAAAGACATTCAAAGATTGTAACCTGGCTTCCACCTGTCCCAGCCTCCCTATTCCCTATCCCCAAGTCCACTGGTAACAATGATATGCCATCTTTGCTGAAAGCTGACACACAACCAGAACCCTTGGATATTTGGTCTTTGTCCATTACTCACGAGCCACACCTTAAAGACATTCAAAGATTGTAACCTGGCTTCCACCTGTCCCAGCCTCCCTTTTGATCATGGTCTCCATGGGTGACTTAATAACTTTCCATACAGGAAACATGCCAGGCACTTCCAAACATCTCTGCCTCAGCCTTTGCTGTTCTCACTACCTGGAATATCCTTCTATCCTCACCTCTTACCACTTACCCCATCTTACTATCCTTTAAGGCTTATAGTACAAACACCACCTACTTTATGAAACATTCTGATTTCCCTCCTGCTGGTAGAATTAAATGTCATGTTCTGTGAGTATCCCAAGCCCTTTCCTTGTGTTTCTGTTGTTGTAACGACCATGTATCAAACAAAGATGTGTCATAAGCATCATTCTAAGTGCTTTTTGTATGCTGTCATATAATTTTCACAACAAACTTGTAAGAAATTATCACAAACCCCATTTTACAACGGGGAAATTGAAGTTCTGAGAGTTGAACTCATCAACGATCACACAACTAGAAAGAGAAACAGCCAGAATCCCTACCATGTTCTGACAGTTCCCAAACCCATAAGTTTTTCACTCTTCTGTTGCCTCTCTTTGATAACCCTATTCCCAGTTTGTTAATTATATACATATCTGTCTCTCCCATGAAATTACAGCAAGTCTCTTAATGGCAGAGACCAGGGCATGTTCATCTTTATAAATATGAATAATAATATATCCATTCATACAAGGTTCTTAAGAGGATTAAATGAGACTATACATATTAGCATAGTGACAGGCAGATAATAAGCGCCTAACAAGAGGAAGCAATCTATCCATCCCATTCACTGCTATCTCCCAGGGCCTAACACGTATCTGGCACATAGTAGTCACTCATTAAATATTAGTCGATGACTGATTGCAAATATTTGTATGTATACATACACATATGTTTATACATATATATGACATCAGTTCATGATTTATGAATAAACATGCATATACTGCCACACATAAGTGTACACCACACAGTTGTGTAATATATTTGTATTTGTGCAGAAGATGTTCAGACTGGAGAAACACAGATACCAGTTTGCCAAAGTTTTGTCTCAACATAATAAAGGCTTCTGGCTGACCTGTCTAATATTTAAGAGGAAGCAATCTATCCATCCCATTCACTGCTATCTCCCAGGGCCTAACACGTATCTAGCACATAGTAGTCACTCATTAAATATTAGTCGATGACTGATTGCAAATATTTGTATGTATACATACATATATGTTTATACATATATATGACATCAGTTCATGATTTATGAATAAACATGCATATACTGCCACACATAAGTGTACACCACACAGTTGTGTAATATATTTGTATTTGTGCAGAAGATGTTCAGACTGGAGAAACACAGATACCAGTTTGCCAAAGTTTTGTCTCAACATAATAAAGGCTTCTGGCTGACCTGTCTAATATTTAACAAATATATAGTACTACCCACATACTAACAATCCAGATGATTAAAAAAATGGATTTTATTAAATGTTCAGAGCAAAATAATTTTTTTGACTTAACAAACCATAAAACTTTTCCTACCTTGCAAAACTCCTTGTCCTTATTTATTAGCTCATAGGTATGTGGGTGGGAAGGGGGCTATGGACCAATAACATTTCTCTGTAAATCTGGCAGGTGAAACATTCCAAATTTCTATGGGCTGTCCAGATGTCCTTATTTAAGTTGTAACATATACAGGAAGTTATAATTTATAACAATTATAAAGCAACCATTTTCTGGATACACAAAGTACCAGACACCTGGCATCAGTTTTGTTATCTTTTATTTAAACCTTATTACCACCCTGCAAGGTAGATGTTCTTATTCCCATTTTATAACTAAGGAAACTAAGACTCCAAGAGATAAAGTAATTTGCCAAAGACACTCTGCTAATAAATAAATAAATAAATAAATAAATAAACCTTATTACCACCCTGCAAGGTAGATGTTCTTATTCCCATTTTATAACTAAGGAAACTAAGACTCCAAGAGATAAAGTAATTTGCCAAAGACACTCTGCTGTTTATCTGTCATGACACCATGTACATATTCAGTATTCTACTCTGAAGCTCAAACTATTTTCAATAAGCAATGGTGCCTCTTACACAGTTTTACAGACGCTAACTTTGAGAGATGTGTGTTTAGGCAATTTTTTATTTTTGAATGTTTGTGTTTTTTTATTGAAGCATAATTGATTTTACATATTTTGGGGGTACAGTGTTGACTATCATTATTTTTGTACAATATGTGATGATCAAATCAATATTATTAGCATATTCATTATTACAAATTGTAATTATTCTTTGTGCCTCTTACCCAATTTCTCCCCAACCCCGCTCCCTTAATAAGTAATTCTCTGCACATAGACACCAGACCAAACCACAGCCGAACACACTGAAGATTACTCCAGGCTACAGACAAGGAGCAAATGTATCTCAGAAACTATCAGCTTGTGTTTCTCAGAATATGAAGCATTTTCCACTTGATTGTGACCTCTAAAAAGAAATCTATTCTCTAACAGAGCTTCATTATTCCTCCACCTATATAAAAAATGGACTCTTTCATCACAAACCAACGGGAAGTTCTTAACTCATTTCCTTATATTACTTGAAATGAAAGTGCTTTCTGTCTTTAGAGAAAAAAATTGTTGCATGCCATGCCTTCTGCCTGCTTTTGACACTGTGAAGGCAAGAGAAAATTAACCCTTACATACTTGTAAGGAGAGTGGGGTTATTTTTAAACTTAATGATAGTAGGGTTCTAAAAAGAGAGAAAGAAAGCCTTCCCTCCAAGAGAGAATTCAGCTGACTTCCTCTGAAGGCACTGGCTATATTATCTCTGACCTTCATTGCAAGAGCAGGCCTGAGAATGGGAGATAAACCATATGTTTTTAAAGTTTTAAAAAATTTACAGATGCTCCTGAACATTTGTAGATAAGTGCAGTGAAAATGATTAAGTTGGCTCTCACCTGCCCGTACACTCACTAGAAGGATCCTATGCAGAGCAAAGGAAAGCTCTCCCCATTCAGACCACTACAATCACAGGAAGAGCCAGCTGCAGCATCTGCAGCCCTAGGGACTGAAGGTGAGAGGGGCACCTCGCAGGGCTGGAAGCACCCCTGTGCTCCCTCACCATGCTTGGGGAGAGGAAGAGAAAGGGAAGCAGCTCTGCCTTTCCTCCAATCTGACTATACAACCCCTGCTGCCAACAACTTATTTTTAGGCACTTAAACTAAAATTCCCAGGAAGGAAGGGAAACTACCACCGGAGTGATCCTCAGAGTTCTGATTTTTCAACCTGGCTTTGATTTTCTGTTTGTTTTATGCTTTCAAGTGCTGACCTAAAGTACATCTTTCATCTTCCAGAGACATCCATAGTCTAAGCCAAGAAAGAGAGCTGGGAGTTTTGGAGCATTAAGTGATGAAAATTCCAGCACCCACGCTTCAAAGGTAATGACCTTGGGCAAGTAACTCGTCTCACTAAAGAATCCAGTTTGTGATCGGCAAGATGAGATCATAATATGTTATTTTAAAAAGTTGTTGCGATTTCAACATAAAAATTGGACGGCACCGGCTCTTAGGACGCCGGTAAGTACTCTCTATTTGCTGTGGGCACACTGCGCAAAGCTGCGGGATCCGTCCATATTTTTCCTGCCCAAGACTTGCCCATTACTCCCTCCTTGGTGATTTATGTTACCAACTGTTCACCTAACCTCGGGAAGGCGCCTCTTACCTTCTTCTAGTTCTCTACAGCTTCAAATGCCTGCAGATCCCAAGAAATAATTTCTCATTAACTTATCCCGGGTTCTCCTTCCCACTGGTTATCGGCAAATCATTAAACGCAACTCAGGCTTGGGTTCTACAGCTTCAAATGCCTGCAGATCCCAAGAAATAATTTCTCATTAACTGCAAGGGACTAAGTTATCCCGGGTTCTCCTTCCCACTGGTTATCGGCAAATCATTAAACGCAACTCAGGCTTGGGAAGAAATGCGTAGTGTTTACATGCGCAAAGCAGGTGTCTGCCCATCTCTTGAGGTAAGGGGTGGGGAAGGGACCCTGACTAAAGTCACCAGGTTAAGAATGGCACAAAAGTGGAGGTAGGACAAAAAGACTGGATGTAAGGGATGCCTCTGCTAGGCGCTGCTCGCCGGCGACCCTGTCCTCTGCGCACGGGGAGGAAAGGACGCTAGAGGGGAGGAGCCGCGAAGGCAGGAGTACCTGAACACTCGGGCCGCTGTCTGGTTCCTCCTCCACGCCGTGCCCTGTTGCAGCACCCCCTGCACGATCTCCTTCTCGTTGGGCAGCCGGTAGACGGGGAAGATGTAGAGCCAACAGAGGACCACGACGCAGAGGGCACTGGCTCCCACGGGCAGCCGGGTCCGCGGAAACTTCCACGCCAGTACGGCCATGGCCCCTCTGGACGTGTGTCGCCTGGCCCGCCCGCACGGGCTCATCGCAGCCCCGGCGTCCTGGGGGCGGTGGCCGGACCTCAGCACAACGCTGGGCGAAGAAGTGGCAGCGGAGGGTCCCCCCACCGCCGGCCCCCCATGCACACACACCTTTCGTTTTCTTGCTTGCACACACACGCACACTTCTTCGGCCCCCACGGCCCCAAAGGTCAGCCCAAGGATTTTTTTTTTTTAATGCAACTTTTTAAAGGATTTCTTCCTAGGGGAAGTGGCCGGGGGGCAAGTCACGAGCTATGGCCATGGTCGCTTCCCCTGCAGAAGGCGGCCGCTGGGGTCTCGGAGAGCGCGGAGAGCGGCG